GTAATGGGGGGGAAAAGGGGACATCTTTCAGCAATAAAGATAAAAAATAAAAAGTAAAGTACATTTAAAAAACAGTGGCAATACTTGTCATAGACAAAAAGGTTAATTTTTTAAAGGAAATATAAGGCTTGTACTTGTGATTTTGACTTGGCACCTGTCAGGGTGGCTATTGTCTTTAAAAAAACGAAAGACAACAAATGTGCAAGGATATGGAGAAATTATACACTGTTGGTTGGAATACAAAATGGTGCAGCTGCTATGGAATACAGTATGGTGGTTCCTCAAAAAATTAAAAATAGACTGCCATATAGTCCAACAATCTCATGTCTGGATATTTATCCAAAGATTTAAAAATCAGTATTTTAAAGATATTTAGCACTCCTATGTTTATTGTAGCACTATTCATAATAGACTAGATGTGGAAACAACCTAAATGTTCATCAGCAGATAAGTAGATAAAGAAAATGTGGTGTATACATGCAATGGAATACTTTTTAGCCTTAAAAAGAAGGAAATTCTGCAATATACAAGATTATGGATGAACCTTGAAGCCAAGTGAAATAATGGAAAGACAAATACTGCATGATCCCAGTTATATCAGGTATCTAAATGAGTCAAATTAATTGAATCAAAGAGTGAAATGGTGGTTGCCAGGGGCTGGTGGTAGTGAGATATGGGGACTCACTAATTAATGGGAATAAGCAACATGAATAAGCTCTAGAGATCTGCTGTACCTATAGTCAACACTACTGTACACTTAAAACTTTGTTAAGAGGGTAGGTCTTGCCCTAACCGGTTTGGCTCAATGGATAGAGTGTCGGCCTGCAGACTGAAAGGTCCCAGGTTCGATTCCGGTCAAGGGCATGTACCTTGGTTGTGGGCACATCCCCAGTAGGAGGTGTGCAGGAGGCAGCTGATCGATGTTTCTCTCTCACCGATGTTTCTAACTATCTCTCTCCCTTCCTCTCTGTAAAAAATCAATAAAATATATTAAAAAAAAACAACAAAGAGGGTAGGTCTCATGTAAATGTGCTTACCACAATAAATAAAAAACTTTAAAAAGCCTCATACAGACTTAGTCTTGAAAACAGCAACACAATATTAAAATGAGTTAAGAATATCCCTGGACTTCAGAGGGATCTTTATTTTAAAAATGAATTAAGCCCAGTCCATGTGGCTCAGTTGGTTGAGCATTGTCCCAGGCACCAAGAGGTCATTTTTTTAAAAATATATTTTATTGATTTTTTACAGAGAGGAAGGGAGAGAGATAGAGAGTTAGAAACATCGATGAGAGAGAAACATCGATCAGCTGCCTCCTGCACACCTCCTACTGGGGATGTGCCCGCAACCCAGGTACATGCCCTTGACCGGAATCGAACCTGGGACCTTTCAGTCCACAGGCCGACGCTCTATCCACTGAGCCAAACCGGTTTCGGCAAGAGGTCATTTTTTGATTCCAGGTCAGGGCATAAGCTTATGAGTGGGCTCCATCCCCAATAGAGGCCATGCAGGGTCGATATTTCTCTCTCATTGATGTTTCTTTCTCTCTCTCCCTTCCTCTCTCTGAAATCAATAAAAACGTATTTTTTTTAAAAAATGAGTTTAAATTATTTGTGCTAATAGGAAAATATGTTCAAAATATAGGGCTAAGAGAAAAAACAAAGTAGAGGACAATATGTATAGTACATTCCCATTTAGGGAGTTAATGTTAGCAAATACATACAGACATTTTTTAATATTGGTAGATTGCTGAGTGAGATGAGACTCAAATTTCATTGTATAACATTTTAATCTTTTTTAACCTTGCTTAAAACAGATATTTATTGTAGGATTATAGAACTGCTGGTGTAATATTTTTATATTTTCAGAGAAAAAAAGAATAGCATTCAGAGGCAGGTTTCTTATTTCAGACATGCACACTGGGTTTTTCAATCAATTAACAATAGTGATTTGGTTTGTAAGTTTCCTAATCTAACATTATTAATATTTTATATGTAAAAGAAAGTTATGAATATGAAAGAAGGGGTCATGTTGCATATTTACATGTAACTGTTACCGGATTGCTGCTCAAGTAGGAGGAGGCTCTCTCTTCCTTGGGTCTTATCTTTCTCATGGGAAAGAATTCAGAGGCGTGACAGTCAGCATTGTTGAGCCAAACAAGTGAATTTACTAAGAATACACTTGGCATAAAGCATAAGCAGGCAACTCAGCTAATCTGAATGCACCACCTGGGGGGTTTTCCAAGAGTTTTATACTTTTCCCCCTATAGGTTCCAAGGTTCCCCTGCAGGATAGACTAGATTTCAAGTTCCCACTTTTACATTGTTAGGGTTTTACCCAAAATTTATTAGAACATCTGGCGATTTTATCTTGGCAAGTCCCTAGACTGCTGACTTCTTTGTTCAGTGGGTGAGATAAACTCCCCTTTGTCCACCCTCCTTCTCCTCCTCCTGCCTTTACAGCTAACTATCCTGCCTAACATAACCAACAGGTCTGCAATGAGATCTCTGATAAAAGCAAAAATTGTTACGAATTCTTTCCCTCCCAGTTTCCTTGCCTTTTTCAATGTGAATTTGTAGCTCCTCCCTTTCAAAAGATGAAGTCAGTTCATCCTTTGAATCTGAGGTGGCCTTGTAACTCACTTTGGCAACAGAATGCCAAAGAAGTGATGGTGTCCCAATTCTTAGCCTAGGCTTTTTATTCTCCTTGCTACAATACTCCCAATATGCTAGCTGAAAAATCTCAGCATAGCCGGTTAGATGATGAGAAACACATGGCCCTCTTGCTCCCAACACTTCAGGTTTCAGAAAACCAATCCACGAGGGAGATCTGCCCTAGCTAATTGCCAGCTGACCACAGCATGCAAGAGGGAGCCCGTCAAGAACGGGAGAACTGCAAGGCTGTCCAGAGAATTGAGCACTAAATTAAGGTTTGTTGTTTTAAGCCACCAGTTTTTGAAATGTGTTCTTGTGCAGCAAGAGCTGATGTATACAAAATCAAAGGGATCCATATTTTTATCCAAACTTTTTTCTCTTACGGCATTTGGTTCATTTAAGCCAACACAAATGGATACCTACAATGCGTCAAGCACTGGGTGAGGTATTATGGTGCTGTGCTTATGTTCAAAGTGGCAGTCATCCAGTTGGTGTCTCATAGCCTAGTGGTTAAGATAAGGAGTCTGGCGCCAAACTGCCTAGACTCAGATATGCTTCTGCTGGGTACTTTGGGCAAATTTCCTGAGCTTTTAGTACCTTAGTTGTTGTTTTTTTCTCCTCATCATTAAAAAGGAAATAACACTAACACTTACACTTCTTGGTTGTCATAAGGACTAAATGAGTTAATATTTACAATGCATTTAAAACAGCAATAGGTAATTAAATAAAAAATGTGAACATATAAAATTGGAAGAATTTCTTTCTTTGCCTGGAATAATCAGACATATTTCCAATCTAGATGAAAGTACTCCTCAGAAAGTGGGTAATTACTTTAGATGGGTAATTACTCATAAGTATTATAAGTCGCCTTTTTAAAATATATTTTTTATTGATTTTCTACAGAGAGGAAGGGAGAGAGATAGAGAGTTAGAAAAATCGATGAGAGAGAAATATCGATCAGCCGCCTCCTGCACATCTCCCACTGGGGATGTGCCTGCAACCAAGCTACATGCCCTTGACCGGAATTGAACCTGGGACCTTTCAGTCCGCAGGCCGACACTCTATCTACTGAGCCAAACCAGTTTTGGCTATAAGTCACCTTTTCCCTGTGATGCACCCCAGCTTCTGTGAGGGTTGGTTGCTCACAGCTCACCACTACCCTCCTTATCCTGAAGCTTGCCCCTGGTCTAAAGGATTTGCCTCATTGGGAAAAGGTTACACACAATTTCTGGGGACAGCTTGCAGCTAACTGGTTAGAGGGTAAAAATGAGCAGCCTTTTTGCCTCAAGGTGGGACCTAGTCTCTGGTGTCTTGCATGCTATGTCCCTGAGCTCTCTGAGGAATCAGGCGAGTCTAAGCTTCAGAGAAAAAACAAAAACACATCTTTACTTGGCTTTTCCCCTGTGTCATCCTACTTTCCTCACTCCTTTTCTCCTGAGATCACTTCCCAATTAATTACAGGCATTCAAATCCCCATCTCATGTATGCTTCTAGGAAACCTGGCTTAAGATAAGTATGAAACGTTCTGTTCTGACCTTGCAGCATCAGCCTGTCAGAGAAGTTCAGATGATTTAGCAAACCAAATTGGAACAATGAAAAGATAATAATACACTAATTACAGCAGCTACCAGGAGAGAAGATGCTCTCTGCAAGACAACTTGAGAGGAATGAGACACAATGTAAATGCAGCTGTCTCCCTTCTGCCATCAGAAGGTTAAGCTCTGTTGCACAAAGTACCTGTCTCCTTAGATCACCCCAGTGGGAAGGCTGTGCCTGTGGTGATTCTCAATGGACTCTTGTTTGGGCTCAGACTGGCAGCCTGCTCCTTGGCAGGGGACCGTGATCTTGTGAGTGATAATTTTCCCCTGCACACTCTCCTGGGTGGGTCTTTCCTCTGTCAAAAATTGAACTACAGCAGGGTTCCCAGTCTTATTAGTTTCCCTGATGCAAGTCACATTTCTCATTTATCAACCATTTATAAGTCACAAGGTCAGGAAGGCAGACAATGCAGAAAGACACTTGATGTCGGATATCAGGCAAGCCGATATTTTGCTCAAACAAGACAGGGTGTCTCACTGAGGAAATAAGGAGCTGCATTTGGAGACTCTAGGGTCGTGCTTCTCATGTCATGGTGCATACCAGTTACTCAGGAGTCTTGTTAGAATTCAGGATTCTGGGCCCTATTCATTTCAATCTTACAATGCAAACCTGGTCCTGGGTACAGTGGGGTCCACACAGCTACAGCTCAGCTATCCAGATGCCCACAGAATGGGTCAAATAATATCCCTGAGGTCTAGAAAATTTTAAATCAACTTTTGCTTTGAATTAACAGATTTTGCTAGAGTGTATTCTCTTAGGTTTGAGATGAGCCTTGAAAATCTACATTTCTAACAAGCTAAGCTCCAAGATGATGCCACAATTTGAGAAGCAAACACAAAAAAACGGGAAAATTTTTTTTCAAGGCTGTGTTTCTGATTTCTCTCTGGTTCCCTTTCCTATGGCTTCTTTTTATTCAGTGATAATACTGGACCAATACATATAAAAAGTAGGACTAGGTCAATTTATTCATTTATTGGTTAACTACTATGAACCAGGCACTGTAGATCTATCAACAAATTAACATGCATCGTGCCTATTCTCAGAGATCTGACACCTTAGTGGGGAAATTGGATAATAAACAGGTACATAGGAGGTATATATGAGGTGAATATAAGGCCTATGAGCTAAAATAAGACAGGGAAGGAATGGAGAGGGAAGGAGCAGGGATTCTACTTTAGGAAGGCTGATCAAGGAAGATGTCTTTGATAAGGTGACATCTGAACAGATATTTAAGTGACCTGAAGGAACAAGGCATGTTTCTGGAGAAATAATTTTTAGAGAGTGCAAACAGTGTGTGCAAAGGCACTGAGGCATGAGCATCTTAACTGCAGGGAGGTCAGCTGGGCTGCACTGGAATCTGCACTAATAAAAGAAAAACATGCAAATTGACCAAACCTTCGCTATGCCTTAAGCCACGCCTACCAGCCAATCAGAGCGACTATATGCAAATTAACCTATAGGACGCTGCTATAGTGTTTGGGCCAGGTTCAAACCTCGGACTAATGAAAGGACAGGGTCCTCTCATTGCCACGTGCAAGTCCCAGCTGGAAGGGCAGGTCGCTCCCAGCACAATTATAGCCAACAGCTATGGTTGTAAGCTTGAACCTATGGTCCAAACACGTGGCCCCACGTGCCTTGTGCTAGAGTTCAGGTGCATGTAGTTGAGTAGGGTTGGAACTCACGAGAATGCTGTAAACAACGTGATCACACCCCTACTTTGCCTCGTGGCAGCTGCTATAAAATAAAGACACGGCTTGTGGGCACCGGCTCTATCTCCTCATCAGGGAACAGCGTCCCATTGAGACCCAGCTTTCATTCTCTTGTCTGTCTTTTCTCAATCCTTTCACCCCCCCACTCAGGGTCACCTTTGGCCATAGCATGTGGCGCCCGAGCAGGCCCTTTGGCTGTAATAAGTGGCGTCAGAACAGGCCTGAGTTTGGGGGAATTTAAAAAGTGATCAGGTGAAAGGAGGCTCCAAGGTGTGCGGAGAGAGTAAGCTTAAAAAACAAAAGTAAGAAAGTAAGAAGTTAAGCTTAAAAAGCAAAAGTAAGAAGGCCAAAAAACGAAAATAAGGTAGGGAGCCGAAGTGTGGTAAATTGGCTCGATGTAAAACATGGGGAAATGCTTAATTGAAGCATTTTTAAAGTAGGCATTTTAAATTTCTAAGGTAGAAATAAGCGGAAGCAACTTAGAGATAGCTATGTAGCTGAAGGCCCAGAGAAAATTCCTGGTTCTATCTTCAGTTTGTGGTACATGATTCGGGACTACTTAGAGCCCCTTCCCAAAAGGGATGGATGAATGTGGCAGGAGATGTAGAACAAATAGTAGAAAGTGACCAGAGGCTTCCAACTCCATTTATACCTTTGGCAGCTCCATTACCTCCTCCAGTCCCTGGGGCTACCATGGGGGGGGGGGGGGGTGGGAAGCCCTCTGGACAATGTGCTTCCTCCCAAAAACGAACGAGAATTGAAGGAGGAGGCAGAGAGGGAACAATGCAGGTGGGACTGGGATTATGGGGGTCTAAGACAAGCCTTTGGAAAACTTACTGTTACTCGTAAGCCTCTCCAGTCGCCTTCTAAACAAACAAGAACAAGAGTGGGATCTCTGTCTCTACTCTAGTGGTCTCTGTATGAGGCTAGGCAGGCTTGGGAAGACACTTCAGGATTTAGTAGCCAATCGTACTCTTAAAATGCAATTACTAAAACAAAAAGGGGGAGAAGAGGTTGTGTTTGTATCTTTCCAGAAGGAGCAGTACAGTCAATTTGGGTGCCAGAATGGTACGTGCGACACCACAATGGACCCAGAGAAGTTCCTTGTCCCTCCGTTCAAGAGACTGAGAGTTGCCCCAATGACAGCAAAGAAGAAGAAGCTAACAACTGAGGCCCAGCAAATAGCAGAAGAGCAAGGAGTGGAAGCTACTCCTTCAGCCATGTTTATGGCTGTTAGCATAGAGAAATAAATAGAGAAGTAAGCAGTAGAAAATAAGCCATAGAAATAGAGAGTAGGAAATAAGTTGTAGGAATATAGAAATAAGAAGTAGAAAATAAGCAGTAGCAGTAGAAAATAAGTAGAAATAAGTTGTAGAAATGTAGAAATAAGCGGGGGTTGCAACCCAGGAAAGGTTTGGGCAAGGGCAGCCAGGCCTACCTATGGTTCTGTAAGCAGGGGTTGCAACCCAGAAAGGTTTGGGCAAGGGCAGCCAAGCCTATCTATAGTTCATAGTTAGAGTTAGAGAAATAAGTAGAAAATAAGCAGTAGGAAATAAGCGGCAGGAAAAATAAGCTGTAGAAAGTAAGAGGTAGAAAGAAATAAGCAATAGAAAGTAAGTGGGAGACATTAGAAAATAAGCGGTAAGAAATAAGCTGTAGAAAATAAGCGGTAGAAATAAGCTGTAGGAATAGAGAAATAAGTAGAAGTAAGTGGTAGAAATAAAGTAGAAATAGGGAAAAAAGTGGGAGAAAATAAGCGGTAGAAAATAAGTAATTAGGAAGATATAAAATAAGGTAGAAATCTAGGTTTTTGTTTAAGCCACTGTAAAGCAGAAGATGGCTGTGGTGGATGATGTTTAAGAAAATAATTTTTATTTTAGACTTAGACTGTAAGCTCATGCAGCAGTTGCATTGTTTTTGGGCTTTGATTATCTTTGCTTGTGCAACCAGATAGCTCCCTGGGACTTTGGGTCAGAGTTGGAAGTCGAGACCCCAGACTCAGAATTGGAAGTCTCCAGCTCTGCAGGACCGAGGGTTGCTCATTTCCATGCAGCAGTGGCTAAAGAAAGAAGCTGAGAAGGGACCAGACTTCCAACTGCGTGGACGAGGCTGATTTGACTGGGACTGGTGCAGACTCAGTGTCGAGGTCAACCGTCCAAAACAGCCTGATCCAGGGGACTAGTTTTTCATCAAGACATCTTTGCATCGGCAGGATATCAGCATGGAGTCAGCTAAAGAAGATGGCGACTGAGGCCAAGCAGATGTTAGAAAAGCAAGTGGAAGCTATGCTAGTGTTGTTGAACTGTCAGTTTTCTGTAAAATCTTGCGGAGCTAAATCTAAGGACT